CCCAGTCAGAGCATTATGCTATAAAGGTCCACTCATCGAAGCATGATATAAAGGCCTAGTTATCAGGGGTATGATATAAAGGCCCAGTCATTGGGGTATTATGATATAAAGGCCCAGTCATCAGAGCATTATGATATAAAGGTCCACTCATCGGAGCATTATGATATAAAGGCCTAGTTATCAGGGGTATTATGATATAAAGGCCCAGTCATTGGGGTATTACGATATAAAGGCCTAGTCATCGTGGCATTATGATATAAAGGCCAAGTCATTGGGGCATTATGGTATAAAGGCCCAGTCATTGGGGTATTATGATATAAAGGCCCAGTCATTGTGGTATTATGATACAAAGGCCCAGTCATTGTGGTATTATGATATAAAGGCCCAGTCATTGGGGTATTATGATATAAAGTCCCAGTCATTGTGGTATTATGATAAAAAGCCCCAGTCATCGGGGCATTATGATATAAAGGCCAAGTCATCGTGGCATTATGATCTAAAGGCCCAGTCATTGGGGCATTATGGTATAAAGGCCCAGTCATTAGGGCATTATGGCATAAAGGCCCAGTCATCTGGGCATGATGATATAAAGGCCTAGTCATCGTGGCATTATGATATAAAGACCCAGTCATCGGAGCATTATGATATAAAGGCCCAGTCATTGTGGTATGATATAAAGGCCCAGTCATTGTGGTATTATGATATAAAGGCCCAGTCATTGTGGTATTATGATATAAAGGCCTAGTCATTAGGGGTATTATGATATAAAGGCCCAGTCATTATGGTATTATGATATAAAGGCCCAGTCATTGGGGTATTATGATATAAAGGCCCAGTTATTGTGGTGTTATGGTATAAAGGCCCAGTCATTGTGGTATTATGATATAAAGGCCAAGTCATTGTGGTATTATGATATAAAGGCCAAGTCATTGTGGTATTATGATATAAAGGCCTAGTCATTGGGGTATTATGATATAAAGGCCAAGTCATTGTGGTATTATGATATAAAGGCCCAGTCATTGGGGTATTATGATATAAAGGCCAAGTCATTGTGGTATTATGATATAAAGGCCAAGTCATTGTGGTATTATGATATAAAGGCCAAGTCATTGTGGTATTATGATATAAAGGCCAAGTCATTGTGGTATTATGATATAAAGGCCCAGTCATTGGGGTATTATGATATAAAGGCCAAGTCATTGGGGCATTATGATATAAAGGCCTAGTCATTAGGGGTATTATGATATAAAGGCCCAGTCATTGTGGTATTATGGTATAAAGGCCCAGTCATTGTGGTATTATGATATAAAGGCCCAGTCATTGTGGTATTATGATATAAAGGCCCAGTCATTGTGGTATTATGATATAAAGGCCAAGTCATTGTGGTATTATGATATAAAGGCCCAGTCATTGTGGTATTATGATATAAAGGCCCATTCATTGTAGTATTATGATACAAAAGGCCCACTCATCGGAGCACTATGATATAAAGGCCTAGTCATTAAGGGTATTATGATATAAAGGCCCAGTCATTGGGGTATTATGATATAAAGGCCCAGTCATTAGGGGTATTATGATTTAAAGGCCCAGTCATTGGGGTATTATGATATAAAGGCCCAGTCATTAGGG